GATTTCGTGCTTCAGCTCTGCAGCGAGAGGAAGCCAAGGCCGGGGCCTCCTGAAGCCTCGGGGGCCGGCAGACACCTGCTTCCCTCTCCGCCGCCCAGAACAAGACACACGGCCCCTCCCAGCCGCGCCCGGGGATGCACAGATAAAACCTGGCCCACACCCACCGGCGCCTCCCAGCACCGCCTGACTGTCACGGACGCAGGAGACACAGCTGACTTTTAAAAGTTACCGTGGATGCAAAGCAATGTCACTTCTTTTTTAAAAAGATATTTTTACTGGTTTCAGAGAGGAAGGGAGAGAGAGAGAGAGAGAGAGAGAGAGAGATTCTGATGAGAGAGAATCATGGACCGGCTGCCTCCTGCACATCCCACACTGGGGATGGAGCCCGCAACCTGGGCCTGTGCCCTGACCGGGAATCGAGCTGTGACCTCCTGGTCAGCCACAGAGCTACGCTGGCCCAACTAAAGTCATGTGATTTCAAGTCTGGGTGAAGAATTTCCTTTATGCTCATCTGAGCACATGTTTATTGATGAGAGAGAGAGAGAGAGAGAGAGAGAGAAACATGGATGTGACAGAGACACATCGATTGGCATCCATGGGTGGCCTCCCGCACGCACCCTGACTGGGGCCGGGGATCAAACCTGCAACCCAGGAACATGCTCTTGACTGGGAATCGGACGCTCTAACCACTGAGCACACCAGCCTTGCTCTGGCGGCTTCCCCGGGGGAACAAGACCACCCGGTGGTGCGCGCGGGTCTAAGTGACAAGGGGCTGGCACTCACCCACAATCTCACTGGGCTCCTTGTTGTACAGCTTCCTGTTCCAGTAGAGGAGCCGGAGCAGCGGGAAGGAGAAGAGCAGAACGAAGCAGATCCCCACGAACATGTGGGCCGTGAACCCCGCGAAGTCCAGGCCCTGGGGACGGACAGGGAGACTCAGGGACGGGCCTCCCGCCCCAACGACACCGCCCCCGCGCCCCACGGAGGAACGTCAGTCCCCAGGCCTGTCACCGACGGCTGTCAGCCAAGCCTTTCCCTAAAAATGCATCAGAAGGAGCCCGGCCGGCGGGGCTCGGTGGCTGAGCGTCGACCTATGAACCAGGAGGTCAGGGTTCGATTCCCCGCTGAGGGCACAGGCCCGGGCTGCATGCTCGGTCCCTAGTGTGAGGCGTGGAGGAGGCAGCCGATCCATGCTTCTCTCTCATCACTGACGTTTCTCTCTCTCTCCCTCTCCCTTCCTCTCTGAAATCAATGAAAACTTATTGTTTTTAAATCCGTTGGAGCGAGAATGAATTCAGACCACTCAGCTCTACTCGGACGGCCAGTCCCCCAGCCTCCCCCTCGCGGGCGGGCCAACAGCACGTCATGTGCAGGGAGGACATGGGCACGGGGTCTCCTACAGGCCCCGCGCTGAGCAGGATGCGAGTGGGCGAGGAGGCGGGTCTGGGCTTCGCGGGGGCCGCCCGGGGGCCTGGCACGCACCATCTTCCTCAGCTCCTGGTTGGACACGATCATGACGTTGGGCGGGTCCCCGATGGCGGTGGCAGCGCCTCCGATGTTGGTGAAGATCACTTCCGCGATCAGGACTTGCCGGGGGTCCAGGTTGAGCACCTCGCACAGCCTGCCACAAGCAGAGAAACGTGGCTCCGTGGCTGAGCGTCGACCGGTGGACCAGGAGGTCACGGCTCCATTCCCGGCAGGGCACACCCCGGGTGGCGGGCCCCATCCCCCGTGGGGACGTGCAGGAGGCAGCCGGTCCACGGTTCTCTATTATTGGTGTTTCTCTCTCTCTCTCCCTCTCCCCTCCTCTATGAAATCAATACAAATATAAGACCTAAAAAGCCCCAGACACAAATAGAGGAGGATGGGAAAGGCCTATGTGCAACTTAAATGGGTTCTCTATTATTGGTGTTTCTCTCTCTCTCTCCCTCTCCCCTCTTCTATGAAATTAATACAAATATAAGACCTAAAAAACCCCACACACAAATAGAGGAAAGTGGGAACGGCCTATGTGCCACCTAAATATTTTTAGAGTTTGTACAAGGGAAGTGTGTACACACACACATGCACACACGCACACACACACATGCAGACTCACACACACGCACAAACACACACACGCACATACAGGAAAGGCAATGCTGGGGATGAACAACAACAACACTACAGGTCGGGGTGTGTGCAGGAGGCAACCAATCGATGTGTCTCTCTCACATCGATGTTTCCCTCTGTCTCTCCCCCGCCTTCCACTCTCCCTAAAAATCAGTGGAAAAATACCCTCAGGTGAGGATTAACAACAACAAAATTTTAGCCAAAGCGTTGGACACGGCACCTCTGGAACACAGTAGCCCACGACATGGCCTCTTCTCAGACGCCAACACCCTAACGCCCCTGCCCTTGAACGACGCCCTCTGACCTCAGAGGAGGAACTCGCGCCCCACTCCACAGAGAAGCGGGGTCTTCCGGGCTGACAGGAGGGGCCCTCCCTCCTCCCAGCTCAGAGCCCCGCCGCGCGTGCCGCTCTGCACACCCACCTGATGGTCACGGGCGTGAAGAGGAGCGAGGTGGTGACGTTGTCCAGGAAGGCGGAGAGGACAGCGGCGAAGAGGCACAACATGATGATCATGGCCCACACCCGCCCCCGGGACAGTCGATAGGCCTGCGACACAGCAGACGGGACGGGCCGGGGTCAGCGGGTGGGAGGCGGGCGCAACTTTCCCCGAGGGGCTCTGAGCACCAGGGGTCGGAGTGCACAACGCTCGGGGGCCAGGAGCTCGGGGGCCGGTGTGGGGGCTGAGCAGCATCGCCCGGGCACCGAAAGGTCGCCGGTTCGATTCCCCGTCGGGGTACACGCCCGGGTTGCGGGCTTGACCCTCATCGGGGGACGTGCAGGAGGCAGTTTTTCTCTCTCTCGGGTGGGGGGGTGGGAGGCGGGCGCAACTTTCCCCGAGGGGCTCTGAGCACCAGGGGTCGGAGTGCACAACGCTCGGGGGCCAGGAGCTCGGGGGCCGGTGTGGCTGGGGCTGAGCATCGCCCGGGCACCGAAAGGTCGCCGGTTCGATTCCCCGTCGGGGTACACGCCCGGGTTGCGGGCTTGACCCTCATCGGGGGACGTGCAGGAGGCAGTTTTTCTCTCTCTCTCTCCGTCTCCCTTCCTCTTTGAAATCCCAACAGAGCCACATCAGCCAGGGCTTGAAATCAATAAAAATACATTAAAAAAAATAAAATCAATACGCATATCCTCAGGTGAGGATTAAAAAACTGAAAACGGTGCTCAAAGCCGGCAAACATCCCTCTCCCTGTCCCTTCCTCTCTGAAAGCAACAAAAATCTAAAATAAGTCAATGAAATAGTAGCGTTATTTATCAAGTATGTAACAGTAGGAAATAAGTAAAATCAACAAATACATACCTAACTATTCCTTGCTACATTGCACTTACCTTGACAGCACAGTAATCAAAGAATCCGGTTTCTGAAAATATGGCTACTAGGATCATCTGCGGGGAGAGGAGAAGGGGGACGAGGCGTCAGAGGGGCTGGGCACGTCTGTGCTCGGAAGCTGCCCGTCACTGCGCTGGGGCCGTGCTGAGCGGACTCCGCCTGCGGGCCCTGCGTGGAGCCACTTGCTGGAGGCTGGCACCTGCGTTTGGTCCAGGGCATGCACCCCAAGTACATGGTCACCCCCCCAAACCCCCCGAACCTTCACAGCAAACACAGCTGCTGTTACTGCTCCAGGGACCTGGGGGCAGAGACGGGAGGTGACACTCCCACAAACTAGAAGCCGGAGGCAAAGGGCCTGGATGCGGCCCGAGCAACACCACTGGCTCCATGCTGACGGGGCCACACTCCGTTTCCTCAGATAAACAGCTTCCGTCACCCACGGCCCAAGACGTGCAGATAAGAGCAGGCGCAGGGCACGCTCACCCTCTGGGCTGTGTGTGAGCCCAGGTCGCTACTCAATGCGTTTCTTCCTATTGACGACGCTGAGCTGGTGGGAATACGCACCCTCGGTGACCCCAAAAGGCAACTTGACGCCTGGCCCTTGACCCCAGCGGTCTGAGCTGAACCCTGACCTCTGACCAGAGAATAACCTCTGGCCTGGTTCCTGAGCACATCTGAAGGCGTGACGCCCGGTCTTAGAACTTATACTTGGGCTGTGACACGGGTTTGCTCCTGACGCCCTTTATCTCCCAGGGGGACACGTAGGTGCTGCTGATCCGCTCCTGCCGCCGAGGCCCTGGAGGCTGATCGGGTGTCTCTGCTACAAGAAGGACCGGCAGCGGCGGCAGCAGCGGGGACAGCCCGGCCGGGGGGCGCGCCGGGGCCGGATTACCATGCCGAACAGCAGGGCCAGCGTCTCGAAGTCGATCCACTCCACCACGTGGGTGAGGCTGGGTCTCTGCGAGGAAGCAGAAAGCCGCCCGTCAGTCCTGGGGGTGCCGGGCCTCCTGCGGGCACCCTGCCCCTACCAGGCGCCCCGCCTGCGCCAGAGCCAGAGCCAGACTCCGCGTGTCCGTCCGCGGGCCTCGGAGCACATCGCGCTGAGAACCGGGGCGACCACGCATCCCAACGTCAGGCCTTTGCACTGAGTCGCAAGAAAAGCACATTTCTCTTCTTAAAAGGTTTGTTTTAGAGATGGAGACAGATACAGGAAATGACAGAGAGAGAGAGAGTGAGAGAGAGAGAGAGAGACTAACGGAGAACACTCCTCAGAGCCATGAGGTCTGTTAGTTCTGCCCTGGCCGGCGTTGCTCAGTGGTTAGAGCGCCGGCCTGCACACCAGTGTCGCAGGTTCGATCCCCAGTTCAGGGCACGTACCTGGGTTGCAGGCTCGATCCCCAGTCCTGGTGGGGGCACATGCGGGAGGCACCCAATCGGCGTGTCTCTCTCACATCGATCCCCCCCCGCCCCTCCCTCTCTCCTTCCCTCCTTTCTACTCTCTCTAAAAGTTGGGAACAGTATATAAAACAGTGGGAACCAGGAGCTGAGCCCAATCCCGGAGCCGTCCCTGGATCGGATGCTCCGCCCTCGATGGGAAATGCCCCACTTACGTCCCCAGTCACAGCCAGAGCCGCCAGCGCCGCCAGGGAGCCCAGCATGGCTGCCAGTGTCCTGTGGACGATCTGGAGAGAGACGCAGGACATGACTGGGGTCCAGTCCACGGGGGGGGGGTGTGGTGGTGGTGGTGGTGGTGGTGGTGTTAAAACACATAAAAGCCTGCGTTGGCGTCAGTCTGGGCCGGCCTGGCCATCCTATACCACATCTGTGAGCATGATGAATGCATCGGGGGTCCTCCTGTCCCACAAACCGGGCACCCCAACAGCACACACAGCCACCCTCACGCCTCCCCTGACGAAGCTGCTTTTCTTTCCTGAGGAATGAGGTGACCCCTCAAGCAGAAGCAGGAGGCTGGATACAGAAAGTAGCTTCTACCAGGAAGCCTGCAGGGCCCAAACTATGTAAATTTCAAAGGCTGCAAAATTATACAAAAAAAAAAAAAAGAGAGATGACAAACCCTAGCATAGCAGAGAAGTCTTTTCAAAAATAAACTGGCCTCGGACTGCATTTTTGAAATTCCTCGTGACCGTAACAGATTAGAGCATGTCGAATTTATTAAATGCCGACGTTCCGAACGGCATTCAGAGAAACAGGAGAGAGACCCAAAAAGAACTCAGCGGACACCCCTGGAAGCTGCTGAGGCAATAACTCGTTACCACGAAAATCAATAATTAAGGAAAAATCATTTATCTTGTGTTTCTGGCCCAAACTGTGTTTCACATTAGCAATGGTGCCCGGTGGATAGTAAAACCATCAGGAGCCCGGCCAGAGTGGCTCAGGGTTGAGCGTCGACCTGTGAACCAGGAGGTCACGGTTCCATTCCCGGTCAGGACACAGGCCCGGGTTGTGGGCTCCATCCCCAGTAGGGGGCGTGCAGGAGGCAGCCGATTCATAATTCTCTCTCTTCACTGTTTCTCTCTCTCGCTCCCTCTCTGAAATCAATAAAAATTTATTTTAAGAAATAATAAAATAAAATGATGGCAATGTCACTTCTTGGGAAAGACACTACCACCATTCGATGGAGACGCGGGAGCCCCCGACCAGCGAAAGGCACTGGCATGCGGTGAGGCTGGGACGGGCGCGAGGGTTACCTCGAATATGATCAGCACGTAGACCCCCGCGAGGATGGCGGCGGCCGCGGTCACCTGGGCTTCCACGCTGGCACGGAGGTGCTGGTGCGCCAGCAGCAGGGGCACCGCCCGGGGCTGCTGCAGGGCCGCGCGGACGCTGATGGAAACCCCGTCCCTGCAGACGGAGCACCAGTGCTCAGAGCATCTTACTGGCTGTCGGCAATGCCCCTCCCGTCCCTCCTTCCCACGCGAGCCCCCCACGGCCGTCACCGGAGGCCCACCTGCTCGGAACCTCGAAGGTCCTGCTCACCACCACGTGCTCGCTGCGTCGCGGGTCTAAGAACACGGTCCAGTTGTGAGTGACCTTGAAAGTCCAAGAGTGACACCGTGGTAAGGCTTTGACCTTGACCAGCACTGACCCGGGGCTGTGCTGTGTGGGTGCTGGTTTAGAATCAGAAAAGGGGAAAGAGAGAACCCGAGAGTCCCCCCGCCCCCCGACACGAGTAGCCCAGCCCACGGGGAGCTGGAGATGCCTGCACTTCGAAGGCCTTTGTGTGATTTTTAAAAATGTTTTTATTAATTTTTTTAGAGAGAGAGGAAGGGAGAGGGAGAGAAAGAGAAACATCAATGAGAGAGAAACATCATCAATCGGCTGCCTCCTGCACGCCCCACACTGGGGATCGAGCCTGTAACCCGGGCATGTGCCCTGATGGGGAATCGAACTGTGACCTCCTGGTTCACGGGTCCATGTTCAACCACTGAGCCATGCTGGCTGGGCCTGCAGGCCTCTGTCTTAGTGGGCAACATAGGAGAAACACTTGCCTAAAATGGCTACCCGTTTGCTCTGACCAAAGGGTCATGGGTTCGATTTCCGGTCATAGGCACATACCTGGGTAGTAGGCTCGATCCCTGGCCCTGGTCAGAAGAGGAGGCAACCCATCGATGTTTCTCTCTCTCCTTCTTCCTCCCTCCCTCCTGTCCTCTCTCTCTAAAAATCAATAGAAAAATATTAGAGGCCCAGTGCACAAACTTGTGCATGGGTGGGGTTCCTCAGCCTGCCAGCGATTGGGGCCGATCAGGCCATCTTGCCTGGTCCCGATTGGGGTCCGATGGGGGCCGGCCAGCCAGAGAGGGACCGAGGGAGGGCTCCAGGGCATGTCCGTCCCTCTCGCCCAGACACCAGCAGCAAGCTAACCTACTGGTTGGAGCATCTGCCCCCTGGTGGTCAGTGCACATCATAGCGACTGGTCGAGCGGTCGATCGGATGGTCAGACACTTAGCATCTTACGCTTTCATTATATAGGATTCTCTGGTGAGGATTAACAATGAAAATGTGCTTCCTAGTTTGATTTTACTGAAATGGCAAGATTTTGGAAATTGACGTAGAGAAAAGGGAGAAAAAGAGAATTTCAGAGACAGAGCAAAAGGCGAGGGTTCGCCAGATAATGGCCCCACTGCCTCCTGGCTCCCCATCCGGTCCGTTCGGGAGGAAAGTCGGTTTATAAAGCGCTGGGGTGAGTGTTCACAATTCCTTCCAAATAACTTAGAAGTAGGACCTGCTGGGGCCGCCGCCTGGAGCCGGGAGCACCGGCCTGCGTCACCTCCACCACCACATGCTCTTCTCTTCCCGGACGACTCGGGCCGCCGGCCACCAGGGCCCCTGCCAGGTCCACCCGGAGCAGCGTGGAGTCGGACCGGCTGCTGAGGTTCGCAGCTGGGGGGACGTTAAGGTGAGCACGGAGCAAGGAGAGGCCTGGAGTCCACCCCCTTCTCCAGCCCCCGGGGGAGGTGAGCCACGCCCAGATGGGAGAGAGACTACCATGGCAACCACAAACAGCGACACTGCCCACCTCTGACCAGATGCACACAAACCCCTCCATACGCTCATCTCCAAGCGTTCCCTCAGGACTATGGACCAGTGTCCGTGTCCCCCCAAAAATCCACGTCCAAGGCCTGGCCCCCCTGCCTGGCTGTGTAGAGATGGGGGGAGGGGGGAGGGCCTCTAAGGGAGCCACTGAGGCCAGCAGTGAGGCTCTGACCTGCCAGGATTAGTGTCCTTATAACAGGAGATGCCGGTCCTAACTGGCGTGGCTCGGTGGTTGAACGTCGACCTAGGAACCAGGAGGTCAGGGTTCGATTCCCGGTCAGGGCACATGCCGGGTTGCCAGCTCGATCCCCAGTAGGGGGCGTGCAGGAGGCAGCCGATCCACGATACTCACTCATCATGGATGTTTCTATATCTCTCTTCCTCTTCCCTTCCTCTCTGAAATCAATAAAAATATATCTTTTTTAAAAAAAGAGAGATACCAGCCCTGGCCGAGTAGCTCAGCTGGTTAGAGCAGCATCCTGACACACCAAGGCTGTGGGTTCGATCCCCGGTCAGGGCACACACAAGAACCAACGAATGAATGCATCAATAAGAGGTACAACAGACTGATGTTTGTTTCTCTCTCTCTCTCTCTCTCTCTCTCTCTCCCCCCACTCCCTTCCTCTCTCTAAAATCAATCAATAAAAAATGGTTTCAAAAGAGAGAGAGAAACATCAGAGAACTTTCACTCCACACAGAGCACCAAGACACACCTGGGAGGATGCAACAGGAAGGCGGCTGCCTGCAAGCCAGGAAGAGAGACCTCACCAGGCACCAGATCCGCCCGCAAGACCTTGGCCTTGAACTTCCAGCCCCCAGAACTGAGAAACGGTGTTGAATCCACACCGTCAGCCGGAGCTGACGCACACACTCGAACGTCTATCCTACACGCACGTCTGCCTTTTCACGACCAGCCAGGCCGCCTGCCAGGGGCCCAGAGAACACACAACGGGAAGAAACCAAGCCGTCGCCAGACCCAGGACCGGAACCCAGGCACCTGCAAGCGGCACCCGCCTCGCGTGGGGATGCTCGCCGCCACCCGCCCACCGCGGGCTCTCACAGCTCCCTCCCCTTCTGTCCCGAAGCCTCGTCCTTCACTCAGCGTCCTTGGCCTGTGCGGTGACCTTGGAACTGGGCTTGGGCGCCTCTCTGCTCTGTGACTCTCAGCCTCAGCCACCGTCCACCTCCCGCCCGGCACGGTTTTCGGTTTAGATACAGTAGCTTTCCAGCGGCGACACGGCCAGCAGCTGCCAGAGCTTCCCTTCGTCGGGATACAGGCTGAAGGAGACCTGCAGCGACAGAAGCACTTCAGGAGGGGCTTGTGGGTAAGCGCGACCCGGCTCACAGAGGATGGGTCACCGCTGAAAACAGGGGGAGGAGCCCTGGCCGGTGTGGCTCAGTGGCTAGAGCGTCGTCCTACGGACCAAAGGGTCCCGGGTTCGATTCCGGTCAAGGGCATGTGCCTCGGTTGCAGGCTCCTCCCCGGCCCGGGCCCGGTCAGGGCTGGTTCGATTCCGGTCAAGGGCATGTGCCTCGGTTGCAGGCTCCTCCCCGGCCCGGGCCCTGGTCAGGGCTCGTGCAGGAGGCAACCCATCGATGTGTTTCTCTCACATCGATGTTTTTCTCTCTCCCTCTCCCTTCTACTCCCCCTAAAAATCAATGGGAAAATATCCTCAGGGGAGGATTAAAAGAGAAAAATAAAAAGATAATAAAGCGATGGTAATGGTATTGCTTGATGTACCCCACATCCACCAGTTGACTCCGAATAGCCCCTCTTAGAGATTAGAATCAAATTCTGATCCGTTTTACTATCTTCAGCGACCATGGGGGCCTGGGCCCTGGTCAGGGTGCGTGCAGGAGGCAACCCATCAATGTGTTTTTCTCATGTCGATGTTTCTCTCTCTCCCTCTCCCTTCCACTCCCCCTAGAAATCAATGGGAAAATATCCTCGGGGGAGGATTAAAAGAGAAAAATAAAAAGATAATTGGGGGATGGTAATGGTATTGCTTGATGCACCCCACATCCACCAGTTGACTCCGAATAGCCCTTCTTAGAGATTAGAATCAAATTCTGATCCGTTCTACTATCTTTAGCGAACATGGACCTTGATTATTATTTTTTAAATATATATTTTTATTGACTTCAGAGAGGAAGGGAGAGGGAGAGAGATAGAAACATCAATGTTCTCTCCCTTCCTCTCTGAAAGCAACAAAAACATATTTAAAAACAAACAAACAAACAAACAAAACCCCACACACAACATGGCCCAGCCTGGCCGAGGCCCAGGGCACCGCCTCCAAAGGGCCAGGATATGCAGGGGCCCTCCCACGATCCCTGGACGGGGCGGGCCCCCCCCAGTAACCAGTGCTACTGCGTGGGGGTGAGGGACAGCTGGGGGGCCCCTGGAGGGAGTGGGGAGACCCAGGGGCAGCCAGTTGC